GGGTCGCTATGAGTTGGTTCCGACTCGATGGCACCTGACAACAACAACAACAAGCAGATAGCAGGCAAGTGACTCCAGGGAGGAGCGACTTCTTTGGTTCCTTGACCTTGTGTGGCGCAGTAGAATAAGCAATCGGACTGCTCACTGCAAGGTCAGCAGTTCAAACACACCAGCTGCTGCTTGGAAACCCTATACAGGGTCACTCTAAGTCTAAAACAACTCGATGATACAACCACCACCAGGGTCTCCCAGGGGCCACAGTGGCTTTTGCAGGGGTGGGAAAGAATGGTGTTGAAGGGGCAGGGAGACCAGAAACGGGGTGATCGGGGATGTGAAGGAGTAGCAGCAAAAGGCATTTGCCTTAGGAGAGAACTTGGTGGGGGGGCAATTAGAATTGAGGGTGCTGAGGAAATCTTGCAAGGTGAGCATACAGAAAATCAAAATCACACAAAAGACCAGATGGACTGGTCAGCTAGAGACCATTGGAACCTGAGACCGTGGCCCTTAGGCACTCTTCAAACCTGGACAGGAATCCACCTCTGGGGATCACTTTTCAACCAAACAATGAGCAACCTACCAACTGAAGAATAAGTAGGGAGAAATGTGGTCCTCAGTAGAACCAGCCAAACTGGACGGAAAGGGCAGTATTTGCCAAAACCCAAACAAGGCTCAGCAGGCAGGAAGGGGACAAGAAAGAAGAGCAAATGGAAACAGGGAACCCAGGGAGGAAGTGGGAAGAATGCTGTTAACAGGAGGGGACGGCATCCGATGTCACAAAACAAAGTGTGTAAATCTAGTCAATGGAAACTACCTGGATCTGCAAACTTTCACCCAAACTACAATAAAAAGAAGGAAAGCAGTACAGACTCTTCCAGACTTAGGAGTGCTGAGGCAGGGGGTGGCCCTAATAGTGTCCTCGTGTCCAGTCCTGTGCCAGGCACCAGGACTGCAAAGTCCAGAATGATATCGACCCAGCCCTCAAGGAACTGGCTATTTATCAAGGGGGACAGCCAGTGCTTTCTACGTGTCATAGATTAACTTAGATCCCTAGGAGTCCTGGTGTGGCACTGCAGGGTAATGTGCTGGACCGCAAGGTCAGTTTGAACCACAAGGTGGGTGGCTCAAACTCACTAGCCACTCCTCAGAAACCCTACACAGGGTCGCTATGAGTTGGAACCAACTCAACAGCACTCATCAACAATAGCTGCCACAATGGATTTGTGCAAAACAGCTAAACCTAAAAGTTGTCAGTTTGAACCCATCCGCTGACAACTCAGAGGGTAAGTCTGGCGATCTGCTGCTTCTGGGAAGATGACAGCCTAGCAAACCCTGTGGGGCAATTCTGCTGTCACATGAGGCTAATAGGACTTGTACTCAGACCTCTGGCCTCACCTTGGTCCCTCGGGGTTCTCCAGGGGTGCAGAAAGCCACACAACCATGAGCCACGATGTGGCCCCAGGGACAGACCAGACCTGCCCTGGGGCTCCACCTGCAGAATTTTGACTTGGGAGAGTCTCGGAATGCCCACTGCCCACAGTCAAGGACGGACGTGCTGAAACCAACCCCAGGCAGCAGAGGA